TGAATATACAATTCCACTATGTGCAATATTGTGTTTTAGTAATTAGATTTGACATTCTTGTATATATGAAAAGTATATAATGATAGATTTAATGCATTCTGTTTTACATTGGTGTGTGTATGGACATGCAGTTGTGTTTTGTCTTGCCTGGCCTTCTTCTTGAGATAGCAAGCAATAAATATGTCACTCGGAGACCAAGGCCCATCTCATATCATCTGTTAGAGCAAGAGAGGGACAGAGAGGTCACTGAATTTACTGCCTTTTTTTCTTTCCTCCATTTACCTACAACAAAAATGATGTTTAATAATCTTTATGAATAGAAAATTCCTGGGCTTTAAAAGTTTGTGTCTTTTTTAACATAAGAAAATAAATACACAAGTTTTTATTTAAAATTAAAAGTAGGAAACTGTATTTAAAATTACAGAAAATTACTGTATTTTTAGAAAATGTTTATTTCTGATAATTTTTTGGTCATATTCTGACACCCCAGCTGCCAGAACATTGTATTTATTTAAAACTTTTTTTACAGTGTATAAAAGCTTTTCAGAAGAATATTCTTTCACTTCCAGTTTTAAATTTTTAAATTCCCAGACCTGTAACATTTGTGACTGGCATCAAATAAGAAACACTTGTGCTAGTATTTCTATATGTTGAAGTTGGAGGGATCATCATGTGTGGTCATGCACGTATTTGCATTTCACTGTAGTCACACACAGTAGTGGTGTGTGTCAGCTGCTAGTGGTATCACCTCTATTTTTATCTTTCTGTTAGAACGCTGTCACTTTCCCAGAGGATAAAAGGACTGAAGAGAGAGCTCCACACACTCCATGAACATTTGAATAATGATGCTGCTTTTACTGACATTTTCAAAAATATCAGTTTCTTTAAATTCTTACTGACCAGCTTCAACTGTGACTAAGAAACAAAATAACTACATTAGCATTCAAAACACTTGTTTTGAATGCTAATGTGAATTTTTTTTTTAATTAGAATTACAACTGAGAAGCTTTCCATATTTTTCTCAGCCTCGAGTCTCTCTCTGTTGCCTTACGTGGTAGACAAAGTGCATTAATGTTAACAGATGAATGAAATAATAGCATCAGCTGCTATCGTTCACAGCCATAAGAAAAAAAGTGCTTGTCTACTTTTGTTCTGCCTCACATATATTTCTTGATATTCACCTGACACTAACTCACTGCTGATTGGTTTGTGTCCTTTATCATCAAATAGCGAGCATCAGGCCTTGTTCCAGGACCATGACTTTGCTTGTTACAATGCCAAGGGTCCGTGTAGCCAGGAAAAGATCCATAAATAGACTTGCGCACACATCCTTTTCAAATAACACTCACAACACATTCTAGTGTTGAGATACACAAGTCCTGTGGTTTATCGTTTACACCTGTTCATGTTTGGATGTGTAATACTGCCCCTCCACTAACCATGACTTCATTTTTAAAGGTTTCGGGTGTGAGTTTTCGTCACATCCTCTCACTGTCGCTGTGTAATTTCCCATCTCACTGCACTTGTGTCCTAGAAATGATGAGTGGGGTCTTCCCATCATTTACAGATGTTGTTAAATTACCTGATATGAGCATGATGTGGCTTGACTGTGTTATCTGCTGACAACTGTGACAGTCATCCTGGAGTTCCCTAGCTGAAGAGTACATCAAGCGCACAGGACAGAAAATGAGCTGCTTAACAACCTCAGACACAGAAGCAATTCCTGACCCATAGCCTATAAAAATCAAGCTAAAATTATCACCCAGATCCCAGCATGGCTGTAAAAACAGTTATCACACAGACACATGCACTCAACAAGTCTCAAAATATCAAGAGTGCATAGCAGCCAAACCCTGCTCGGCCATGTCATAAGTCCATTTTGGAAATAAGATGCAATATTGGCATATAAAAATATCAGAAATAATTTCCCCAACATTGCATGAGATCCTATTTAAACTAATTATTATATCTATAAATGTCTATGCGACTGCTATAACTGCATTCTTAAAAAAATGTGACAGGATGAGTCAGAGAATACTGTCATATATTCATGTGATTCTAAAGCCCATTTAAACTCTTCTCCTCACAGTGAGGTATTATCAAGGGCATTCTTTTGACTGGATTTAGTCTGGAAATATATTCTGGGGGGGGCTTTGGAATGGTTGGAAAGGTAGGATCCAAACAGTGTAAATGAGTTGACAGGAAAATGGAATGATGAGAAATTGTTTGAGGATCCTTTTTTAACCGCTGGATATACGAAACTAAAATATAGAGATAATGTGTGTGTTTACATTCGACAGAATATATTAACAGACAAACTTATATTGTGTCTATAGGTCAGGGCTCCTCAGCTGCTGTCATCCTTCATTAACATGAAAGCATGTTGCCCAGCAACTGCACAAACACGCATACACACATGCCAGTGAGTTGAGCTGCTACACAAGAGTAACACAAGGATGAAAGGAGTGTAAAGGAGAGAGGAAGAAAGGGAGCTTGATGCTTGACTGTGTGTGTGTGTCTGCTTGCACATTTGTGATTACTTGCCAGTGTGTAACATGGAAACCAGAACAACTTTATAGACTCTTTTACACCAAACTTGTTCCAGATCTACTTTAGGTCTATCTTAGGAGAGGTATGCTATCAGAAGCCAACAGCAGCACAATGTGCCTGAAATAGAGAGCAGCTCACATCAAACCAAATCATATGATTCATGAGTCAGGCTAGGATGAAAGGCCACTTCCTGTTTTATCACAGTCCAGTTGCCCCAGAATTCTGTCAGTAAATGAAGTGCTGCTGCTGGGTCTGAGGTGGGGTGGGTGAGGGGTGTGGAGTTCTGCTTCTCAAACCTGAGAATCAAAGTGTAGCAATGCAAAAACTCAGCAGCAGAAATCCAGAAATCCAAAGTAATTTCATAATATTTTAAAATATTATTCATGTTATTTCATCATTAGATCTTTGCCAAATCCACAACAGAATGGAATAAAAAGCTGCTCTTAAATACCTTGAAAACAAATAGCACAGAAGAGCACAAGAGGGAGCAAGAGGACAGATAAACAAGAAGAACTGCTGTGAAGCCTCCTGGGAAATCTACAAGAAGCTCTTGCTATATTTAGTGGGGCTACAAGTAGGAACCAATTAGGTTAACTATAAAGTGTTTGCACATTCACGGTGGTCTTTCTCAGTGTCCATGCCAGACTGAGAGACAAACATCAGTGACACTGATTTTAGGAAAAATCAGAATGCACTTAGAGTGGCCTAAATGATGAATTAATAAGAACATACACTGAAAACGTTTACATGTTGTAGTCAAGTTTCCACATGTTGTAGTCAAGTTTCCACATGTTGGACCTTGGTGCACCGTGGTCTTACCAGGGCTGGGGTGAACTTGAGACAAGTACTCCTCCATCCTTACACCCCTTATATTGATCTTAAAGGGGAAAAAACACCGCTCATGCTCATGTTTGAAAATTTGTAAGACTGGGAAACGCATTTTCGTTAACACCAAGTAAAAATCAGGGTTTAAAGATTTTCATGTCAGATAGGTCTGAAATAATCACGTCAAGCGAAAAGAAATACGTAAAATAATAAGAATAAGAATATCTACTTAAAAACAACCTTGAGCTGATGCACCTGCGCATATTTACAATCCATTCTCATGGGAATGTTGCGTCGTCCTCGTTTTGAACCCACATTATTGGATAACGAATGCGCGTCGTTCCTGAATGGGTGAAATGGAAATGCTTTTGCTCATCTCCGTCTGTAATGACGTAGCTGCAGGGTGCTCCCTGCTTCTTCAGGCTGGACGTTATTTCCGCAGTTGTACTGTCGTGAATCGATACTCCATAGTCACAGCCCGTCCCCCCTCCACCTGCCTATACCCCAACGCCCCGCCTTTTCACTAAGAGGAAGTCGTTTTTTTTTTCAGCCTTCATTTAATTTTATACATATATATTTCTCCGTCACATAGGCATTAAGGGTTTAATGTGAGCTGTCGACAGTGGCTGCAGCTTGTTTGAGCACCATGGGGATTTAAAGGAGAGGCTAAAGGACTCCGCATCTTTCTCAGTGCAGCGCGTCCAGATGACCATGCAACATCTAAGTCCATGGCGAGCTCTGCTCCTTTTGACCGTGCTGTGCCGACCAGGACTCTCAGACAAATACGGTAAGATCATTTTGGCACAGATGATGGTAAGGTCACTGTTATATTCCTGATGATGATCCGGTAATATTCCGGCGCAAACTACATTTAACTGTATTTGCGAGTAATCGTGTACTGCCAACAGTACTGAGGGTTACAGCGTGCGGGTAAATGTGATGATAGTCTAATGTGATTAAACAGAGGGGAGAAGAGATGGAGGATGCAAAGAGTGTTCTGTTTCTGTTAGAGAAAAAGATCATTTTAGGGAATGTCTTCCTAAAACTTCAGCCACCAAATCCAGTTGCTGAGTATAAATGAATGGCCAGACAAGTATCTGTATACAAGATCAAAAGTAGACAGTGGAATTATGTTTTAGACTTAAAATAAGAGACACAAAGTCTGACTATATGTGATAGCAAGCACTTAAGATATAAATAAATAGGTAAAGATGCAAGATTGCCTTTAAACAGAGGTATACTGTAGGTTCCATCTATTCTATATTGACTGAAAAACGAGTTAAGTTCAGTGTGCTTACAGTAACGTTTCACTCAGCAGAAGAAATGTCATTTACATTAGAAGCACTAGCTGTGAAGTTAATATTATAGACAATGGCAGAAGTACCAGTTTCAGAAATGATTATTTCTATTGATTATTGCTATAAATGGAGGGACTTTAATATTTCTTTTAATTGATTGATGCAGTGAACTGGCATAATTCATCATTTGCAGCCAGTTAGAGTAATACACCTCTATGTTTTTTAAACAAATGTTTAAAAAGGCTTGTTTGTCTGACATGTAGATGGAGCTTAGGGAATGAAGTCAACGTGTAATTCAGACTGATACTGACAAATGCCAGATGTTGTTCTCTCCATCAGGGTTTCTCTGATGTAAACAAGTGAGCACATCTAGCAGATGGGTTGCTACCCCCCATCATTCCCCCTCCACATCTATACATTTGGCCATTTAATTTGTAATATGTACATTACATGCTTTCTTACTTCAGATTTATCTTTAAATGCTATCACCTACATTATTCATGAAACAGTCTAGAAACAGTTTGCCATTACAAATCATCCTGAAAAGAAAGCCTTAAGAAAGGACAATAGCATAAAACCAGTGGGCAGCCCACAGTACAATGACAAGCCAGTTCACAGGCGCTGAGATTTCAGCACCATGGAGAGAAACCAGTGACCACTGTTGCTTCCTGTTGTCTGTTCTTCCATTAACACCTCTTTGCTTTCCATCTCTGTTCACACATGCATCCATCCATCTGTTCATTTGATTAGCCATTCATCCATATGTCCGTCTGTCCATCCTCACACGCACCCAGTATGATGTTGGTCTGTGTTAAGGTCTCTGCAGCCAATCATTTCCCTAAGGGACAGATGTCCTGTTGCCATGGCAAATACTATGCAGTAGGTCAGGTGTCCCCTAAATCTGTCTCCAACTATAGGTATTCACTGAAACCTTTGTGTTATTTCATCATAGTAGGGTACAACTATGTTTGTTGAAGTGGCTTTGTGATTTTGTTTTGTTATCCATTAAAATACACATACAGCGTCATATTTTAGAGTTACAGGTTTGAAGAGATATTGCACTGTGCATGTATGCTGAGTGTGTGTGTGTGTATGTGCGCATTTCACAATGGAAGAAGGGGTGAGTCACTGAAAGCGCTGTTAGGTACTATGTCACTTCATTTACAGGTAGAGAAAACAGCTCTCAGTCTTTGCTCTATCCAAGTTTGTCTTCAGGTAAACATTCAATCCACAGGTCCATCAGTTCGATGGGTTCGATCTGGGATACATTTAACACACTCAAACAGATTTCATATGGCTTATATGTATTTTTGTCTGTTTCATGCATGCAAAGAGAAAAAGCACATTTCCTGTGTAAAGTTAAAAATGGATAGAAACATGAGCTGTGGTGTGAGAAAAAATGACACAGCCAGAGAGGGTTATCCATGCTAGGTTCCTATCTGTCACCAACCACCTGCTCCTTCCCACAGTGCTGTACCTTTCAAGGTCTCACCCTCCAACCCAAAAGAGGAGATGGTAGAACTGCTACAATGAAATACAAAGCAATAACTAAAACTACTTCTGACAACAATCTGTTTGTGTCCCCCCTCACAAATCAGCATGCTTTAGCCAATGTATAGACTCTCCCCATGTAAAAGCAATATTTTACTTTCACATAGCATACAGTTGGTGGTGTAGTCAACCTGTAATACATTTAGACTCTGTCTGTTCAGGACTATAATATCCAAATGAAAAAAATATATATGCATTTTCATGTTTTCAGAAGTTTCAGCTTTGGGGATAATGAGTCACTTGTAGTGAGGGGGCTTTTAAAAGTCATATGAATTTTAAGTGCATTGTAGGTGGGTACAGACAATGGTAGAATTTCAATATAAAAGACAGGGTGAAGGTTATGGGTGCTTGGCTGTTTGTGGGTTGGGTGTTTTGTTGTGCACTACATACAGCTAATTATAATGCCTAGCCCATAGATAGGTTCAGTTTGTTGTGCTCGCATGTCAACCCCCTGCAGGATAAAGTGGACATTGTAGCATAATTGATTCCGTGTACCTGTTAGCCATTTCTTTGTGTTTCTGTCTCAGGTTGCCTATTTGAGAGAAAACTGTGTACAAGGGATCAGTCCTGCTCAGACGGTAAGTATAATACACACACACCTACTCATGCTGTGTTTTCATTCCTTGTGGAGACTTTACATTTACTTACATTTCCTGTAGACTTAACCTAACCTTAACCATAACCACTACTTGCCTAACACCTAACCTTAAACCATGTTGCCACCCTAAAATTCAGTGATTTCCTTCTGGGGACTAGAGGCTGGTCCCCACAATGTGAGTGTGTTAACAGGTTTCGGCCCAATAATGTGAGTAATACAAAGGCACCCACACATGCTACATGTCATTGGAAGCATGCTGACATAAAGGCTGTGTATAAAACACCTTTCAAGAATTTTTCCTCTCTCCGCCCATGTGTCTATCGCTCTCAGTCACCTGCCCCTCTCCCTTACTTTATCTTTATCTAAGCCCCTCCCCCATCCCCACAGTCTCCATGGCAACACTGACATCACAGTGAGGTTGACACCCCCACAGTTATTGTGCTAATACAGTGATGAGTCACTGACACACACTTACGCACTTCTCTGTGGAAATTGCACTTGCACACACACAGTCACTGGACAGAATACAAAACAGATCAGTGTGCTTGCAGCTTGGGAGAAGACAGAGCTAGATTGATTCACATCAACTCATCTGAGGACAAAACACAGGAGAAAATAGCTGTAACAAGCTTTGTCTCTCTGACTATCTCTTCTAGACCTGCAATGCAAAATAAGCCATAAACAGTCTGTGTGTTTATTAGACTTCAACAAAGATTAATTGGCCTAATTTTTTGCTTCTAGGAGAAAACTATAAAAGTCCACTAGAGTGTCTCCATAGAAACATACAGGTCTTATTAAGTGACTACCTCATAAAGAATGCACAGCTACTTGCTGAGTTTAGATGAAGAGGTGGAGAAACTGTTTGACTTCATGAGTCAACTACAAGCAGTAAAGATTGGGGCTTCATTAACTGAAGCACCATCCCCTTCAAATGATATATACTCTCTGCTTGTGTTCAGTATAGCATTCCCTTGAACCAAAGATTTCTTTTTTTTTTTTTACTTACTGTATCTACATTACTACATTATTACTATTGTTTTTATCATTATGTAAATTTTTAACCTTTTTGTATGTGTTTCCTTTGAAATGATTTGTTTTCCAATGTAATGTTAAATGCAATAAACACAATGTTAAAAAAGAAAGAAAGAAGACACAGTAAGCCATTACACTATACAATTTAAGTTCCTCGAGTGGTTGCATGACTTGCTTGTGAACATACCTTTGTTTGCAGTATGTGTAGAACCTAAATGAATGATACTGTACAATGCGACCCTGAATCGTGATAGCATTTGGACCATTTTTAAATCATGTAACATGAGCAAAATATTGCTTTGGTTTTATGTTTAACAAATTCCACTGTACAACATAAAAATGGTATCTACAGAAATAACCCAAGCTCTAGAAATAGTCCTGATCCGATCGGACTAAAATATGAATGGCAGATTCTGTGTCTCTTTTTTGTACGTTCAGTGGGGGAACCTTGTACAGGTTTGTATTTCTGGTCAGTGTCCTGTCTCTCTTGTCAGATTGTGAGTTATAACACTGGCACAAGACGCTGCCTTATTACATACCCACTCGCCAGGAAGGGGGAACTTCTGCAAAACAAAAAGTAAAAGCACATCGGTCTACTTATTCTTCAATACACTGAGTAGCAAAATACTGCAGAAGCTTTACTGTTACATGTAAAATATGTGGCTATAAAAACACATTAATCCTCTCTTATCGGTTAATTATGACAGTTCACCCTTTCACTGTAGTAGGTTGGCTTGTGTGAGATTTTTCTGGTGTAGTCAAAGACTGTGATGACTCATCAGTGCGCCAGATAATACACACTCTGCTTTATCTTTATTCCTTTCACGTAGCAGTCTGACAGCATTTCTGTCTTTAGAAATATATTTCTCTTAAATCACCAAAACAGATTTATACACTTGTATACCCACAGTGCGGTGCAACAGGTATACAATGCAGCAAATACTAACTTCGTCGAGGTTAGAATGACGCAGCAGCTTGTTTCTGGTTGTAGATGTTAGAAATGTCATTAATTTGTGCTCATGAAAGAGAACAGTTTACAGAAACTCATAATGCTCAAATTCTATTATTATTTCTGTTGCCATAAGTCTGCCTACAGGCTGGCAATTACTACAAGAGCAAACATTAAGAATTTCAAACACTCATACACTGATGGTGGCAGAACCTTTTAAAAGACTGTGTGTGGGCTGCACTTCAAAACTAAGACCCACTGCTGTGGTCTAGCATGTTGTGGGCTACCATAAGAATGACAGGTTATTACAATATACTGTATTATACCTCAAGGGCGATTGTATTGACTGTTTAAGTAATGTTATGCCTTTGCTGATCTATACTGTATCTTGAATTGTCACACTAGGACAAACACAGATTTTAATAATAACTGAAACAACAACTTCATTCAATTCACATGTGGCAAGCTACAGTATAACAGTGTGTGGGCCAAAGCACACAGTTCCAGGATCCTGAAGCTGAAGCAGCTAAATGGAATTCAGCCACTATTCATTTTTTCAGTCAACCCTGTCAGTGCCTGTGACCTGTTAAAAAGTTTTTCATTTTAAAAAAAGCCCATTGTGTTGCTTGTTGTCTGTAAACTGTAGCGTGTTCTTCATGAAGAATAATCGGAATCAAATATCAATTTTCAAACATTTATTATCATAACTAAACAGACCATCGAATAAAGCAATTTACAGAGCTCTGGGTTCCATCTCTATCTGAAGCCCTGACCTCAACAGCAAAACCGTTCAACCTGACTACAGGAGGAGAAGGAACGCTGTCCTCCTCCATTCAGTTGTTTTTATACAATTTCAAATGTGCCCTTGTAAACTGGTCCGGTCCTCTCGTGCTGTTCTATTGGTCCATGTATCCATCCGTCCTCCTCCTGCGTCCTTCCTGCTCCAATGGGAAAAGCAGCTTCCTAAAGATGGAGGAGATTCTACTCTGTCTAAATACCTACACTCACCCCTTTCTTTGTTACACTATATGACACATGGCTTCCCGTTTGGCTAATTAAACTGTCTTGCCTGTGTGTGTCTGGATATGGCCCTGTCTTTTGAAGTGGCTCCCCTTCCTGGCTGTTAGATCTAATCTCTTGTTTATTACCCTTAGTGTCCCAGTGACCCCAAATTCCCTGGCCTCTTCAGCCAGGTGGTGATCATAAAACAACTGTGAACCCTCTTTGCTAAAGCTGTAAATCTAATGAGTTCTCAGTGTTTAGTGAATCAGTCTCCCTTGATGTTAAACAGTCCCCAGTTGGCTAACACAGTAAATACTGACCAGTGATTCAATGCAGACTTAAGGTGATATGTAACTACATAAACATAAACACAACTGTGAGAGTAAAATATATAAACTTATGTATGCTCTAAACTAAATCCTAATTATTCATTTTCTTAATATGATAGAATAATCATATGCACACACAGTAAACAAACAAGTTAACTAATCAACAAACATAGTATCAATCTTCTACTAACTAAATTCTTAATTCAGTCTAATATTAAAACTAATCCTAATGTATTATTTTGTTAACAATTTTACTCAACAAAACTATGCTGGAATTTATGCTGGCATAATAAACGTTTGAAAATGTTTATATTTGCATGTGTATGTGCTTGTCTGTTTGTTCCAGATGGGCTGTTTGGTCAGTGTCGCAGCTCCAAGCAGGACCTGATCCGGTACCAGGTGTCAGTCCTTGTTCTGAAGAGGTTGCAGGAAGTCCTCAAACAGCTCATGCAACAAGGTAAAATAGGATATGAATCATCACTAGAATTCATTTACATTTACAGTTCACCCTCTTGAATTTAGTGTGCTAACATGCTGACATTTGATAATTAGCCCTAAACAGCTAGTGGTGATGGAAGTGGCTTTAGTTTGCAGGTATTTGGTCATTAATCAAAGTATTGTATGTTCATAGTGAAGTTTGGTCAGGTTGCTGTAACTAGTGGCCATTGTTCTGACATTAATGCTCAAACCCATGCTTTATGAATACAGATAGAAATCCATTAATAATACACACTCATTCTTGCTCCCTCGCACACACTTCCCTCTCTGCCTCTGGATTTCTTTAATTGCTTTATGTGTGCTTGTGTGTGTGCAGGGCTTTCATGGCAGGATGACATCACCCAATATATTTTATCTAAGGAGCTGAAGAGAGTTCCCCATATCACTCACCCCTCAAAGCCAAACTCCTCTGCATCCTCTTCTTATTCAACTCAGTAAGTACACTCCAGCTATCGGCTTTCATTTCACTCTGGAGCTACGTTTGCACTTTCCTCCTTTCAGCCTCTCAATATCTATTCTAACCTTGTCTCTGATTGATCGTGTGTTGCCAGGTCTAAACAGTACATCCCCCATCTTCAGAGTTCTAAGTTGGGGTCCACACTGGCTGGAGACAACTATGTGGACTATATGATTGTTGAGCCTCCTCAGTCCCAGCTGCACATGCAGACAGCATCAATGGACCCATACACATACCGCCAGGTATACTGTACAAACATACATCATAATTGTACAAAAGCAGGTTTGTGTCACTTACACAGCTGCCTTAGTCTTTCACACAGGTTCCGTTCAATTCAGTTTTGTTTGTATAGCAGCAATTCACAACCACAATCATCTCGGGGCAGTTTATATAGAAAAGTTTAGACCTTACAGTATCATAGGGAAAACCCAACAAATCCCCCTTGAGCAAGCACTTGAGCGAAAGTGGAGAGGAAAACCTCCCTTTAATAGAAAACTCCTCCAACAGACCCCAGCTCTTGGTCGGCGGCCTTCTGCCTCAACAAGCTGGGGTGAGTGGACAGAGGAGAGAGAAAAGAAAGAAAAGCATCAGGACACAACAAACAATGAAGCACTGGACAGGTTGATGCAGCCGGTGACTGCTCATCAGAAACATAGAGCTCCAGAGCCAGGGCTACCTGCAGAAAGGTACAGGGAGAGAGAGAGGACACACTACGGGAGAGAGGAGACACACAGTTAATGACATGTTATGGTGGCATATAAAAATAAAATGGAGACAGAAGGGGAAGAGCATCATGGGAGGCCCCCGGCCTAGGCTACTAACTAAGGGATGATACACCAAACCAAAGCTATCCTAGAATGCATGTCCAATAATTTAATTGTGGTTACACCAGCCAGTTATTCACACATTATATCCTAACTCATGCAACAATCATAGACAATAAGTAACAATGAAATACCTCTTCCACTCACAGCACAGGTACCCAGATGAAGTAGAGAGATCTCTGATAGGGAGAGGAGGTAGCTATGCTCACCCCTCTTCAAGGTCCCAGGCCAATCAGAGAGAGCGAGACCGCGACAGGCAGCTGCTACAGGAAGCCTTGTCTGTCTACCTGGCATCTGCACAGCCCTCGTATCGCCACAGAGGAGCCACCTCCATGGCCTCTGCTGGTAAAGGGTTTATCAAAATTCCAAAATAAAACACAAGAAAAATGCTATTCAGGAAAGGTGAAAACATTAATATACTGATGTACTGGATAAGATATTTTTAAACTTTTAAATTCATCATAAGTAAACATTTCCCTTACCATCATAAAATGTTATGCTATGAGCAGGTCTGCCTTACTATGAGGACTTGGAACTGGAGATACCAGCAGAGTATGTGGAAGACTACACCCTAGAGGAGAAACTTGGTAAACAACAAACACTGCAAAACAAGAAGGTTCCTCAGGATTTCAGCACTCTATCTGGAAACAATGGTGAGGAAAAGGAACATAAACTTACTTATACTTAATTTACCTACTATCTTCAAGAAAGGAATGCTGTGTAACTCAAATATGTCACATTTACACTATGGGCACGAAGTACAGTATGTGCATATCAGATACATGTAGAAATGGTCTAAACTGGACAATGCAACAGTAGAGCTAACGGTGCTATCCTGTCTTAGATGGCTTGCTCCAGAGGATGTCAGGAGTCTTGCACAGGCATGGCATTGATCCCAGAGAGCTCAGTCAAGACCAGCTCTACAAGCTAGCCCTCATAGTGCAGCTGCTGCCAACTCAAGACAAAACAGGTTACATCCCTGAGCTACTCCTAACCAAACTACATGGGAGAAACAAGAGCAATAAATTATACTAAAAGTAAACTTTAGCATTTGCCTGAAATCAGTAGTTTGTTTCTCTCAACACAGATCCAGTTAACAAAGACCTCAAGGAGGTATGTCAGCATCTGGTGTTAGCAGTGATTACAAAAAGTCATAAGGCTTAGACACTGACCAGTCTTCTACCATTCTTCCACAGATTCAGCTCTTAAAAACAGGCAGTGTGTCAAAGAATAAGCCTGCTCCTGCTCCCGCTCCCAGGGCCCCTGATGCCCCCCTTGCCCCCTCCCTTGCAGTCCCAGCTACACCTCCTGCCAATTCTCCCTCCCAGCCTCCACAGGCTGCTCCTGCCAAAGATGGACAAGGCTTGAAGGAGCAGGGACCACCAATGATTCAGGGTGCAGGAGCCAAGGAGGAGTATGGGTACATCGTTACCAATCAGAGGTCAGAGCCTGATCAGATTATGCTTTCAATTTTTCTGTTAAGGCCGTCATGATGTGGCAGTAGGTGAAATCAGTACATGCCATCTTTATATAAGTGCAGCAAATATGACATTTATTGAACATGGTGTTTACAAGGAGCCTAATGATGTTCTCCATTTCTAGTCATTTGAGTCTGTATGATGGAGCAAAGCTGTTGGAAATGCTTGCTGATAAAATACATCTGACAACCAGCAGTTTCATCAACATCAGGTAACAATGCCATTATGTGTACGTGTGTTAGCGTGTGAGAGAGTTGTGAATTTTACTAATTTAATCTAAACATCAATGAGATTTTTCACAGTTTTGAAACATTAACGTGTGTGTGTGTGTTTCTAGTGTGCTGGGTCCTGCTCTGACATTTCGTATCCGCCAGAATGAGCACAACATGACGGCTGCAGAGGTGGCTGCTAAAGCTGGTGAGGCTGAAAAGTGCACAGACACACAAACACCTGCCTGCCCACACATACAAACACACATCCAATAATAAAATATGTTGTTTTATTCACCCCAATAGATTCTGAAAAGAACTTCCTGGAATCTCAGACAGGCCTGGAGATTATACAGACTGGTGTAGGAGAGGTACTTACACACATGGACACACTTAAACAGCCTCTGAAGAAAATGTCCTTTGTAACCTGCCATATTGTTACATATGGAGCAGTTGTCAAGGCAACAGAGATTTAATCACTCCTCTGTATTCTCTACCATTTTCACTTTAAATATTCATTTGTGGACACTAGCTTGGCAGATTATCAGATTTGCTAGTGTCACATGAGACTGCTGACAGTCGGGGTTTCTCCACATCACGTCATCATTGTCATCATTGTCTTCTCATACACATACTATAGATGTAGATAGATCACATGCAATCCTAAATAAAAGGATATACAAATACATAGGGAGTGATATCAAATGTTTCTCCTAAAATGTGTGTATCTTAAATTTTTAATACACAGCTTTCAAAGAGTCAAACTAATATTTTTATCTCAATATCAGAATAAATATTCTTTTCGTGCTGGCTCTAAATACCATCAAGAGAAAACGAAAAATGATATAATGAGTCCAAGACCGCTGATGCTGAAGCACTATACTGTCCAGTAAGTACTGCAGAATGAACAAAGGTGACACATCTACATATAAAGCTGGTTTTCCATCCACCACTACATTTTGCACTGTGTGCACCAGAGTGAGTGCTGGTCTGTACATGAGTGTGTGGCACCTGGAGGGCAAGTGGCCAGAACAAACCAGCATGGCTACGCCTCATAACAGCCAGCATTTCACTTGTTGCCATGGCATGTCATCCCCACCTCTCCCCCATTGCAGGCTTCCAGGCCCAGGTGCTATGGCAACAGTCACATTAACCTCATTGTTCCCTCGTATTCACAACACAAAGCTGACTCCAGGCCTCTGACTCATTACCTTACATTTTGTGTGCAATGGATTAATAATGAAAAAAGGCCCCATCTAGAATGAATATTAGTACACGCATCACAGGCACCAATTTAGAGCTGCAGTGATAATATTGTAATTGTCCATTATTGGTCTTGTGTGTGTGTGTGTGTGTGTGTGTGGTACTGATGGGATGAGACAGTGTAGCAGAATGTTTTAAACCAGGCACTAGGGATGTGCTCTCATTAGTGCCTGTCTCAGAGTTTGAATATGAGAAGGTTTACATGCTTGTAAACTGTGGTGATGTAGTAAGGCTGAGGGAAAGCACAACTGTTTTAAGTCCATTACACAAAAGCTCCATAAAAAACTACAACAGCATGAAGGTCAACAGAAACCATAAACATTATTGCCAGTTAACAATTATATGTAAATATTAACACTGATTTGATGTGTTTGTTCCCAATTAATCTAGGACAGTAGATTCAAATTGTGGTTTTTGGTAATTTTCTTAACTAATATATATTAAAAGCCAGTGCCAATTCATTCATTCAAACTTTATTCCAGACACTAAAAATGGTTCATGTTAAAAACAAATACTGTATATACATATAAAAATAGATGCACTACAACAAAATACCAGGAAAAAAGAAAAATGCATTTTTTTATTTAATATTCTAAACACTGCACAGTAAATGTTTACTGTAGCTCTGAGGTTGTTTGACTTTTAAAATGGATTTATTCTCTCAAGGGGGGTTGTTGTTAGGTAACATTTTGACTGAACATGAGTGTGGTGATTCATTCTGTGGGTACAGGTAAGTGGAAAGTACAGCAGGGAAGAAACACTTCTAGACTGTTTTTTTACTTGATTTATCCTAATTTGTACTAAATCTTAGTTACTGCAGCTTTAAATTGTGTTGTATTGGGCAACATCTTTTTTTAATATGCAAAGAAGATGAAGGAGAGGTGGGATGACACTCTGGGGCAGACTACAACTTATACTTTTGATTTATGAAATATCCTGTGCAATGAATCACTGATCTTCACACAACCTCTGCCGCCTTTTTCATGGGTTCATCAAGCATACCACCATAACCTTTCAGATCTCTGTCTTTAAAAGTCAGTTTCAGTGCTCAGTGAGGGCACCTTGCTATCATGTGTGGCTACAAACAAACTCGTTTGTTGTTCAAATGAAATTAGTGACCTTTGAATTCTAGCAATGAGGGCAGACTTCCTGGGGTGAATTAGTTTGACTGTTTCAAAGGTCAAATCAAATCAAATTTTATTTGTATAGTGCCAAATCACAACAAAAGTCATCTCAGGACATTTTACAAAGTAAGGTCTAGACCTTACTGTTATCAATATTATTACATAGGGAAAACCCAACAAATCCCCCTTGAGCAAGCACTTGGCGACAGTGGGGAGGAAAAACTCCCTTTAATGGAAGAAACCTCCGACAGACCCCGGCTCTTGGTGGGCGGCCTTCTGCCTCGACCGGTTGGGGTGAGTGGATAGAGGAGAGACAAAAGAAGAAAAGCAACAAGACACAACAATCAAACACTGATCAGGTCGATGTGGCTGGTGACTGCTCGTCAGAGACGTAGAGCTCCAGGGCCAGGGCAACCTGCAGAAAGGTACAGGGAGAGAGAGAGGACACACTATGGGAGAGAGGAGACACAAAGTTAGTAATGTGTAATGGTGGCATATAGAAGCATAGGAAGAGAGAGG